ATAAGCACAAAGTGGAATAATAAATGAATTACTAATTTTATTACCCATGTAGTATAATAAACGTCCTCAAAGCATCATGAAATATAATACTACTCAAATATCGAAAAACCACAAAACTAATTACTTATTCAAAAAGTTGAAAAAGAAAGTATTTCGGTGCGAAAAAACAAAGAACTAATAATTTAATTTCAACATCCATTTTCTCAATCGATATCAGTGATATCAAGATCTTCAATTTTCCTCTCCAATGAAATCTTGCTGTTGGAACAATACATCGACGTCTTGTACCATTTGCTCTTTAAAAATCTGCCAATTAAATTAAAAATTATATACAAAATTACATAAGTATCAATGATACTTGATATTTCATAGTTCAAATGATATAAAAATTAAACAAAATGGAAATTTTCTAAGAAAACTTACTTCTCACGAAAATTTATTATTTCCGGAATATTCGCCGCAATAAGACGTGTGACATTCTGAAATGTAGACAATTGATACTCACCTGTCGAAAGGCAATATATATTAAATTTTAATTAAACCTATATTTAATCTTATTATTTATATTGTATTATAAAATGAATAGATTTCAAATTCGAAATACCTTTATCATGTGTTGTCCTACACAATTGCATAATTATAGCCCATGGTTCTCCATTTGCCTCACTCTCAAAGTGATTTTCGTAAGCAATAAATGTATCAACATAATCACCCCAAAGTGTGCAACGCATCAGTAATCCACTATTTAATGAAAAAAATATAATATTAGATTTCAATCGACATTATTATAAATGAAAAATTCAAGTAATAATTATAACTTACTCCAAATCCATCATTGAAAAAACTATTTTTTGCTTTTCTTTTTCATGAATCCATTCTGAATGAATGGGTTGCACCTCGACGACCATGCCAATAGCATCTACAATATATTTTAAAAAAAATGAAATATCATTTGATTAAGGAATATATGAATAATAAATATTAAAAATATAACAAAATTCGAGTCCAACATAAAGTAAACTTTTTACCATAGCATCTAGAATATATTTTAAAAAAATAAATATCATTTGATTAAGTAATATATGAATAATAAAAAAAATATATAACAAAATTCGAGTAACACAAATTAAAATTTTTACCATAAAGAATAGAGTCATCAACTCTGTCCGCATCATGAAAATTTGCAAAACTATAGAAGTCAAATGGCCATGTAGGGAAATCAGAAAGCATGTGAAGAACTTCAGTGTCCTTATGGATTACAACTTTGTAGTCTCCATTAGTAGATCGAAAATTTTCAATGTTGATGTCTAGTAGGTAGTTGCTTATTAAATACACTTCACCCTCCTCAAAACCTCCAGCGAATATAGGCATATCACGAACAATGCCGGTTATACGGCTCCCCTAACAAACGAAGAAAAATTGTTATTGAGATACAAAATTAATCAATAATTGCAAAACAAATTTAATGCACTACAATAACCTCCATATCGTGGAAAACTATTTCTAGATTGCTTGGGTAGGCTCGGTTGAATACACGAATGGCCCTAAGCTTAAGCACGAAGCTCATATTCATCATATTCAATTTGAACTGTCTGATCAAGCCATATTGTTCCATGTTTTTTTTTTTATCTCTAAGAGACGATCCAAATACTATCACGATGGTGTGAGGGTTTATTGAATGCGTTTTATTTTTTTGGTTGTTTATTTATAGTGGTAACAGTATTTTAAAAAAATAAAATTACGTTTAGAATCTAAATTATTTGTAAATCATATTTTATTGAGGAATCCAAGTGGTAATAGATTTTCAATCATATTGAAATTACTAATATAATATAAATCTTTCGTTAATCTCTTTTTATTGAAAAATCCTACTTATTAAGGGCTCCCAATCGCGTTTAGAATCTTAAAGAGATTTGAATGGCAATTTTTATGGACACATGACATATATAATTGTTTAAAATCATATTGAAATTACTAATATAATAAAAATCTTTTGTAAATCCGAATTTATTGAGAAATCCAACTTATTAAGGTTTCCAAAATTCGTGTAGAATCTTAAAGAGATTTTAATGCCAATATTTATGGACGCATTACATATATACTTCCCCTCTACAAACATAAACATTTGATTTTAATATTTAATTTAAAAAGAAACAGATATTTTAGATTCTAAACGATCACCTGTAACAGTTGAATTACGAATGGTTTATAAGTGTAATATAAATAACGTGTAATATACAAAATCCGTTCAATTAATTTATTAAAGTGTAATATCAATAAAATCCGGTTGTCATGATATTTAATTTTCATGCAAAACACAAATTATGATGAAGGTTGTTATTCAATTTGATTATATTGCATTATTTCACTATTCGGCCTTTTCTTTTCATGCGTGTAAATTTATCGAAAAAAAAAAGATAGTAAAATGTATATTATATTACAGCAGCAATCTATTGTTTCCGATTGTTAATTACAAAATTTATTGGAAACTATCTACTTTTTTTTTAAGATCCAACTACAATATTGGTAATTAGTGTATAATAAAGATCTACCCGACATTTTTATAGGACAGAAAACATAATAAAATGGAATCAAAATTGCCGAAAAATTGATTCACAATGGATATAAATTAAACATAATAAATTTCACCAAACCTTATAATTGGGAATTTGAAATCAAAATACATATAAAAATAATTTGATGAATGTGTTGAGGAAAATTGTATTGAGGAAAATTCGCATGCCGCATCTGTCACTCGCTAGTGTTGAGGAAAATTGTATTGAGGAAAATTCGCATTGTACTTGCATACATCAGTTCTTCCATTAAGCACAAGCTTCCAATGATGGGTTATTGCATTGTACCTCCCCCTATTATATTCAACATTATAATTGCGAATTCCGTACACATCGCCCTCTTTAAGGAGATCTCTATATAATCCCACGATCGGCGAACGCACTATTCCAGTGATGTATGAACCCTACAATTTGTAATTAATATAAATTAAAAAAATATTGAAACATGATATGAAGCTAATTGTAGTTTTACATGTAGTTATGTATTAATAAAACAATTCGATTAATTACCTGTTGATCATGAAACAGGATATGAATAGCATTCCGATGCTCCAGATCGTCATGAGTTTCAATCAAACGGATTACTCTCAACCTCAAAAAAGGCTTGTTGTATTTATTGACGGCGTGAACGTTTTCAAAATATGGTGTCATGATGTTTTCTTTTATTTTTGTATTATGAGTGTGTTGCGCGTTTGATGAGGTGAATGAAAAAGGGTATCAATGACTACCCTTTTATACACTGTACATGTTTATCTCTACCGAAATTGTGGGAGGATATTGTTAGTATATAACTAACTGATAAAAATCTGTTAAATAAGGGTAAAACCTTTTTAAACGCCATTGGATAACTAATAGAGATAAATTAGGAGATTTTGATAGCAATTAATTCAAAATCAACCTAAAAATATGGCACGTCACTTTGTATCAAAAATTCCAATAAATTGCTCACGTGAATTTGTATCCAAAATTTGAATTCCACGCGCAAATTAAGCAGATTTTTATAACAACTAATTGGAATTCTACCTAAAAAATTGTCACAAATTGCTCACGTGAATCCGTATATAAAAAATGAATTCCACGTTTGAAAGGGGATTGCCAAATTTGGTAAGTCAATAAGGTTGACTTCAAATTTTTTAAAACTTTCCCAAAAGGATTTATTGACCTCTCTTTTTCAATATATATAGATAACGGTGCAGTTTGGTTTTCTCACTGAGCTGTGATTGCTCCTCTTTTATTTACCCCTTTCAAGGTTGATCGAGTTGACGATAGTTCTCAGGGATGGTGAAGTGGTCATGTTTTGGAAATTATTTGATGTTTATGATATGATGGTTATTTTGCCTTTGAAATTTATATTTTTGACTCGTTTAGTACTTAATCGTTTAGTACTTGTGATGCATTGTTATCTAGTATTTTCATGACTTAAAATTTTGAGATGATTGCATGTTTTTTATCATTTTGACTTTTATTTATGGTGTGGTATTTTGAGTATTATTTGAGTAATGAGGAATTGGTGAAGTTGTCAAATTTATGCTCTTGATTGGTGCAAGTGCAGGCAAAGTACTGCCGATTTTTTTTATTTTTTTTTATTTATTTAAGAGGATCAATATTGGGTCTCCACTTAGTCCCTGCATGACTCGAACTCATAACCTATTGATCTCAAGTGAAGAGTGCTACTAATTGAGCTATCCCTTCTCGTCAAGTAGTGCCGAATTTTATTTGGTTGAAATGTAAAAAATTTATTTAAGGTGTGGTAAACTTTAGAATTTCAAAGTTAAGTAAGAGGGTGCTACGACTAGTAAGTATCCTATGAAGGCAAGACTATATACTATGAAGCAGTATTTTTCAACTCGGCCCGGCCCGGCAGGTCGACTCGGGACCCGGTCGATCCGGAGCCGGAACCGATTCGGGTGGGCTACTCGGACCGGACAACAAGAGACCCAGTCAAACCCGGTCAAAACTCGGCCAACCCAGTCTTGACTCGGGGCATTGACCCTGGCCAAGAGGCCGAGAAAGGTACGCTTTATTTAGAGTTTTAGCCGGCTTTTATAGTCTTGCGTTGTAACAGTATTATAACAGATTTCGATGTGGGATTTCTAACTTTATATTCTTTTCACGAGACAACGCACCCTTGAGAAGTTCACAACAATACACAATTGTAAAGAATCTGTCAATTATTACTCTCTTTCTTCTTTAGTTTATTTTCTGAATTTTATACAATAAATAGAAATTATTTTTCTATTTTTTAATATATTTTTTATTTTTGAAAAATAAAACTACGTATATATACTTATATGATAAATATTTATCATAAAATACATATGATTAATACTTTAATGTACAAATTTTATATACAAAACATTTAGTTTTTTGTTACTTTTATGTATATTTATATGACAAAATACTCTATATATAATTAAAAAAAATAAATTAATTATCCGGTTCAGCAATTGACCCGACGATTGAACCGGTGACCGGATAACCCGGAGACCTACCCGGGTCAATTCCCGGGCCGGTTTGAAAAACTATGCTATGAAGGCAAGAACCCGATCTAAAATAGGCAAAACAAAACTGAAATTATTTCACTTGTCCCTCTAGCTCTTCCCAGAGACATATCCCGAATAAATCAAAATTACACTTGAAAGGAACAATTTTTTAACCGATCTAAAAGAGGAGAACACATTCTTAGTTCTGACACTAGCGTGATAAATCATCCACGTACAGTTGCAAGAATTTTCAATACTAAACAAAAGAATACAGTTGCCTTTTATCCGACTTGACTAAAACATTCAACTTTTGGCAAGCAAAGCAAGCATCATTATATACTACACCTCATACTTGCAGAGGTTCTCAAAACCCATGTACTCATGCCGTTGAATCTTTCCAATCATATTCGAAATGCCAACTCCGCCTGTTTAGTTCAAAATATAATCCTATAATTAACAAATTAATAATATATCTCTACAGGGGTGATGGTATTTTTCTTCAAAATGCCAGCTTCAGCTTCTGATTTCGCTGAGTTTTAAACATTTCAAACTTTAACGCACAAATGTTTTACTTTATGGCTTATAAACCAAAAGCTCCTGTTTAAAATTTATCCAATATTTAGAAGTGTGTGTTTGTATACAAATATATCCGCTCAGTATGAGTTTTTTTTGTTAACCAGAGTTGATTTTGAAAAAAAAATAGTATGTTTAGTTGTTAGTAGAATTTTAATTTTATATTAAAATGATATTAAAAAAAATAATTAATGTTGATTTGATGTAAAAATAGGAGAGAGATGATATGCAGTGATAGTTAGTTAAAATTATATTAGAGAATGAATAGTAAATTAAAGTTGATGTGATGTGTAAGAATAATTGATTTGTATTATTTAATTATATTGATAATGTTGAGGATAGTGGAGTTGAGTTAAAATTGAGTTAGATTTTGAGTATGAATTGAGATATTTGGTATACAAACACACTATACGCAGAGTTAAGTGCTCACCAAGAGAGATTGCGCTCACGAATATGGTGAAGGAGAGAATGAAGATAATTATGGAAGCCCTTCCCATTACAATAATCATCCTTCTAACGACATGTTGACCGATAAAAGCAGCAACAGTTGCAACAGCAACAAAGTACAGAGCTGTCGCATATATTTCATTATGAGACGACAAATTTATTTACAATTTCAAAAAATAAGTGATGTATTCACGTGCGTGTGTGTAAGTGTTAACAGAACGAAATTAATAAACTTAACGTTGTCAGCATGTACTAACTAACCGTAAGGAACTGGGAACCGTTTGAGAAGGTAATATTCAACCACTGACATCGATGATGAGAACATCATGGCAAATGTGGCTGTTGCACTTGAAACCTTCAAAAGAATTTTTCTATTAATAGATATAATCATGCATTTTCAATAATTTATATAAATATATAAAATATGTGGAAGATGCAATCAATTTTATAAGTATCCATGATGAGATAAGCGAAAAAGGTGTTCATGAAGCTATTATCATCAATAGTTAGATGCGTGTGCAATTTCTCCCTCTCTCTCTATTTGGTTTTTTATTTTTTCCTTTTCTTAAACAAAATTTTATGTGATCAAACA